AAAAATTACAAAATGCCATCCAAGGTTAGTCTTCGTCTATGGAATATTCACTTTGACTTGATTTAACGGTTGGAATATCCCCTTTATTAAATAAATTAAGAAATTATTTTACAATCCTTTATAAGTTAATAAAATTAATAAATAGCCACAGATGTTCTTAGTTTCATCACTAAAACCCTCTTCTTCACCACTTACATCTTTACACCACAACACAAAATAAAAAACAAAGCTCCGCGAAATGAGGTAAGCATACTTTATCTCTCAAAAACAAAGAGGACTTAGTTGGATGGTCAGATTTGTGATTTGTTTCTACAAGGTTTGGGATTTGATCCCCTCATAGAAACCTATATGACAAAAAAACTGTATTTAACCGTTTTCCGACGATGACAGGGTTTGGTGGGGGAAGCTCGCACAGGGATTTCCACAAGCATATAGAAGTTTATTTTTTTCTTTCCTTGTTTTCCTCTATTTTTCACTCTGCAATTTAGCACTAGAAAAAATAGATTAATGGCTACAGATATTCATTCATATTGTGATATGCTTCCATGTTTGCCTTTGGCCATATGACGACATTCTTTTAACTCTACATTGCCTTCACCAAGGCTAGACTTAAACTCTCCTTTATTTCAACCCATGTAAACATCCAATACTCTGAAATTCCATCAAATTTAACTTCCCTAGCAAATTTAGTAGAGCTCCCATTACCAGTTTTGGATCATAAACTCTTGCCTGAAGGTGTTGAGGCAACTGTTGATATTTCATTGGCATAAAATTCCATACCTTAAAGTCTTTCCTACAAGAAAGATAAAATATATTTTTTATATGATTATATTATTATGGCAACTGAAATCTTTTGAAACTTCGAGTGAAAATGATGGAGAGTTTCTATGCATCACTTCTAATATTTCATGCCAGAAGCATGTACCGAAGAAAATCCTTGTTTCTCATCAAGGTTATATTATACATTTCTGACGAATGTTGAAATCTATGTAGTTATGAACCAGAAGTTCACTGATCCTGAACTTTTTAAGATTTGGCATGACTGTCATGGTCATCCAGGATCTACTATGATGCATATGATCATAGAAAACTCACATGGGCACCCATTAAAGAACTTGAAGATTCTGTCACCTAATGAGAGTGTTTGTATTGCTTGCTCACAAGGCAAATTGGCATTTAAGCTATCCATCACTAAAGTTGGTCCATAATCTTCATCATTTTTACAAAGAATTCAAGGGGACATATATGGACCTATTCATCCAGCAAGTGGACCTTTCCGCTATTTGATGGTATTAATTGACGTATCGGCACGATGGTCACATGTTTGTCTGCTATCTACCCGTAATGTTGCCTTTGCTAGATTGCTAGCACAAATTATCAAATTAAAGAGACACTTTCCAATTACCCAATTAAAGCAATCCGTTTAGACAATGCTGATGAGTTCACCTCAAAAACATTTGATGACTATTGTACAACAATGGGAATTGATGTTAAGCACTTAGTACGACATGAACATACCCAGAATGGTATGGCAGAGTCATTTATAAAGTGCATCCAATTAATTGCAAGAACTTTGCTTTTATGTATGCAATTACCGACTTCTGTCTGGGCTCATGCATGTTTTACATGCTATGACGTTAATTCGCCTAAGACCCACTACATATCATCAATATTCTCCAATATAGCTTGTATTTGGACATTAGCCTAATATATCCCATTTAAGAACTTTTGGTTGTGCTGTGCAAGTTCCAATTGCACCTTGTCAAAGCACCAAAATGGGACCCCAACATCGTTTGGGAATATATGTTGGCTATGACTCACCATCCTCATCAGATATCGTGAGCCCTTGACGAGTGATCTATTTATTGTACATTTTGCGGATTGCCATTTTGATGAGAAAATATTTCCTCCTTTAGGGGAAAAGGCAAAGCCTCTTGAAGTAAGGCGTGAACTTTTTTGGAAAGTGAATTCTATGTCTCATTTAGATCTCACACATCTCAATCTGAAATTGAAATGCAAAGAATAATACATTTGCAAAACATTGCCAACTAAATGCCTGATACATTTACAGATGCAGCAAAAATAACGAGATCATACATTCTTGCTGTCAATACACCAGCAAGGATTGATGTTACCAATGAACAATCTATGCAGGCAGTAATCAATTCATTTGTTACACGCAGAATCATGGTAGGCCTGTCGGAGCCAAGGATATTATTCTTAGGAAACAAAAGGCACAGAATCAAATAGGTGCCAATATTGGAATAATTGACAATTCCACATCTTATAAACTAACTCTAGAAGAGTTAACAATCCTTGAAATGACAGAAGCCCCTAAAGAGAAAGAAATCCCTGAAGGAATACATGAAAATAGAAATGAAGAAATCTCTATGAACTATGCTCATAGTAAAGAAATGTGGAATCGTGAGACAATAATTGTCAATAACATATTCTCATACACAGTAGCTACTGAAATTATGAATGGTGAGTTTAAACGATGCTTAATTGATGAATGTCGAAAGAGACATGATTGGCCAAAATTGGAAGAGGCAATTCAAGCAAAATTAACCTCCCTAACAAAACGTAATGTATTTGGACCTCTAGTCCAAATGCCTGAAAAAGTGAAACTTGTAGGGTACAAGTGGGTATTCACAAGAAAACAGAATGGAAAAAATGAGATTGCTAGATATAAAGCCAGACTAGCGGCTTAAGGTTTCTTGCAGAGACCTGAGATTGACTTTGATGAGATGTATTCACCAATGATGGAGGTGATCACATTTGGATACTTGATTAATTTATCGGGCTCAGAAGGACTTGATATGCATTTCATGGATGTTGTCACTACGTATTTGTATGGTACACTAGATACTGATATCTATATGAAAATCCTTGAAGGATTCAAAGTGCCAAAAGCAAATAAAAGGAACATGTATTCAAAGATTGTTATATGGGTTGAAACAATCAAGATGAATGTGGTATAATCATCTTAATGAATATTTGATGAAGGATACATCAATAATCCTATATGCCTATGTGTTTTCATAAAAAGGTCAGAATCGGGATTTGCAATTATACTGGGCATTATTACTGAACTTTTAGGGATTTACTGTAATTACACCTTTAAGAGGTGCAAAATTGTACTGGGTATTATTACTACATAAGAAAGTAATAATAATAATAAAAGGATGTTGATGCAAAACCCAACATATAGGTTAACCTCAGAATATTCCAAATCCAGTGCAGCTTGAGCAAAAACAATATGCATAATACCTCCAATGGTGGAAGGTAGAAGTGGTGATTAAAATTGAAGTCTTATTGCACTTCTCATTAGCCACCCTAAACCCTATATATATATCAACTATTATAAGGATAATTAATCGGCCCTCTTGACTAATTTTTTTATTTTACTATAAAAGTATGAGCTGTCTTGAACTGTATCTACCTCCAATGGTGGAAGATAGAAGTGGTGATTAAATTTGAAGTGCTATTGCACTTCTCATTAGCCACCCTTTTGCAACATATATATATTAACATTCTTTTATCAACGATTATAAGGATAATAATCGACACTCTTCACTAGTTTTTCATTTTATTATAAAACTATGAGCTGTCTTGAATTATACCTTTAAGATACATGATAAGATCACAACTAGATAAAGATTATATATATATATATATTCAATATTTTATCTTTCTGTAATTGCTCTCATTATCAGCGTCCACAAACCACAACTTTATCCAATTTTTTTCCACAAGCTAATCTCTTTTGTCAATAAAGAGAATCAGGTTGTCCCTTCGGAGGAAAAAGAGGGCTAGATTTTCTTTCCTTAGGGAGAACGACCTTTTCCCACCCAGGGTTTGGCGAAACGACATTTTCTCACTCGTCAAGTTTCAAAATGACACTTTCACACCTTTCGTCGGATTTCATTAATGTTTTATGTTAATTTTTGACTAAAAAGATGAAAATATCCTTAAATAGTTTATTTCTTAATTAATTTATTATATCATTCCACACTAAGCAAGGTCAGATTTTATCGGCCAATCTGTACTTCTTATCCTAAGTGAGGATATGAGTTCAAGCAGAGCAACTCGCCCATTGGGTGAGCTCAAGGTCTCAAGTTGCTCAAATGTAGACTCAAATAATAACAACAATATAAAAATAACAGCCACTGCACTTAGCTGATCCACCATGGCTCATAATATAAACTTCCTCATATTCTTTTTCTCATACTTGAGTGTAATCTTTCAAGTATATTTGACTGTAAATGAAAATGAAATCTAACAAAATACAAAACACCCAAATGACAAAAACATTTTTTTTTTCCCATACAATTAAAGACTCTCAGTTCTTTTCTCTTAGAAAACCGAACTAAAAACTCTTACCTGAATCACAAGCTTTTTTTCCCCCTTTCTATTATTTATATATCTCTAAGTTTCTTCTTCTTCCTCAAAAAAACTTGTTACTGACCAGTCTATGCGCAATCTTTTGCTTCTGTTCTCTTCTTTTCTCTGTTTCTCTCTATCTACTCTGCCTCTCTCTCTCTCTCTCTCTCTCTCTCTAAATCCTTTAGTTTCTTCAGTTGAAAAAAGAGAGAGAAACTAAAAATAAAAAATTGTATAGTGATCTACAAATTAAAATAATAATTTTAAAGAGATGAATTAAAAAAAAGGGGGGGTCAAGACTTATTAAGAATAAAAGCAAGTAAGGGTGTTTTCTGTAAACTTTGTAAGTATACTTGGGGTGTGTTTTGTAAAGATTGTAAGTAAGTAAAACGATGCGTTTTTGTACTAATCTCAGTCTCTATATAAGAGGCTGTTACTGTTTGTTTTCAGTTGTAACAAGAAAATACAATCAGTTAGCAATTAAGTCACACTTTTCTTTCCCTTCTTTAGCTACAGCTCGTACTTAGCCCTCTTTACATTTTTCTTCTGATTTTCGTTCACTTTCTCTCAAATTAGTTCAAGAATCTTCATGGTATCAGAGCCACCGACACACGTCCATGGCGAATCTGACTTCTGAGATCTTGGATTCTGGTTTGAAGGTTGTTAAAGAGCAAATTGACAGTGCGCGGGCAATGAGTTCAGTAGCCCACTCTTCACTTCCAACTCTTTTAGTCAAATTAGGGGAAAAGAACTATAGTTACTGGAGATCTCAGACTCTACCTGCACTTGCCTCTTACGAGCTCGATGGCTTTGTAACAGGTGTGAATCCATGTCTTCCTATGTTTATAGTTGAGAAAATGGTTGATTATGAACAAACTGTTAAGAAACCTAATCCAAAATACTTTGATTGGAAGAAAACTGATCAATTTTTACTGAGCTGGTTAGTGTCCTCTATTTCCGAATCCATGTTTAGACATGTAGCCAAGTGTATAAGTGCGTATGAGATTTGGAACACATTAGAGTTGTATTTTCAGTCATTCTCTAAGGCTAGGACTCTACACTTACGGAATTTGTTGCAAAGTACCAAAAAGGAGTCCATGAGTGTTAATGAATACATTTTGAGGATGAAAGAAATAGGTGATGAGTTGGTAGCAAGTGGAGTTCAAATTGGAGAAAAAGAGTTACTGTTATATATTCTGGATGGTTTGGGTCCAGAATATGATGCCATGGTAGCAAACCTTATTGCTAACAGTAGTAGTACCACTATTCAAGAAGCACAACTACTGTTACATAAACATGAGATGCGCATTGAAAAACAAAATAGTGTAATGACCAACTTTCATGAGCAAATGACCTCTGCTTTACTAGTTGCTAAGCAAGTTTCGATTGATCCAAATAATGTGTCACCAGTTCAGAATTTTAATAGCACTTCACCAGTTCAGAAGCTTGGTCCTAGGGGAGGCATTTTTCAGAATCCTGGGTCTAGCTCTTTAGTTCAACCGAATATGACATATACACATCATGAAGGGTATACTCAACAGCCTCCTAATCTGGCCATGTACACTGCTGTATCACCTCACCTTACTACTGCCCAATATCTTCCTACTAGTGGTTTTCAGTTTAATAACAATGGAATGAGAGGCAGAGGTCGTGGCAGAGGCTATTTTAGGCCTAGACTAGTTTGTCAAGTGGGTGGCAAACCTAGTCATTCAACTCTGCAATGTTACCATCGGTTTGACTATGATTATCATGGGTTTCAACCTCACAACCCTTCTTCAATCCAACCAGCTAACTCACCCATACCTCCTCCTATTACCAATACCCAGCAATACTCTGGAAGTTCTCATGATTCTGCTGCTCAAGTTCAAGTTCTTTATGCAGCAAATTTCCTACAACCAAAAAATGCTGTCAGCTCCTATGATGTTTTTCATGATTTCTCAGCTACTGGTGGTACTAGAGGTTCTTCACCAAGTCCCACTACACCCGGATATCATTCACAAGTACCTGAATTTCAGTCTTTTCCTCAGTCTGGTCCTATGACTTCTACCAACAACTCAACCATGGGGCAACTGTCTGCTACACCTGTGCTGCCAATTTCAAATTCACAAGCTATTGCCACGCCACAAACAGTTGCTGATAAATCCTGGTACATGGATTCTGGGGCATCAAACCATATGATTGCAGATGTCTCTAATCTGATGTTGAAGTCACCTTATCAAAGAGGATCTCAAGTCTAGGTTGGCAATGGTCAATCTATTCCTATCACACACATAGGTCTACTACTACTACCCTCGACTGAATCTAATAGGATTTGACAACTTTAGAACATTTTGTGTGTGCCTCATATTGCAAAAAATCTATTGAGCATATCTCAAATCACTAAGGATAATCATGTGATTGTGGAATTTCATGCTGATTATTGTTTAATAAAGGATAAACACAACAAGGTTGTGCTCTTACAAAGGGTAGTGAAGGATGGTCACTACCAACTCACTTTGCCATAACTTGGCAGCTCCACTGCTAGTTCTACTTTTCAGTTTGAATACTCAGGTTCCTCAGCATTTACTTCCCATGCAGTACTTCATCTTTGTCTAATAAAGAGCAGTTTTCAAAATTTTGTCACAGTTCTGATAGTGATTGTTTTATTGCTAATAAGTCTAAGAATTTTGTTTTTGATGAGTCATTGAATGTTGTTTCTCTTTGGCATGCAAGACTAGGTCATCCTAGTCAGAACATTATACATAATGTACTTGACATACTACATGTAAAGCATTCTGCTTCTGGAAATAAATTTTTTTCTGTGAAGCCTGTCAATATGGAAAGCTACAGTAGTGTCAGTTTCCAGTTTCTACTTCTAGGGCTCTTAGACCATTAGAAATAGTCTATTCTGACTTATGGGGTCCTACACCTTTTCTGTCCACAGAAGGTTATAGATACTATATTATTTTTGTTGATGATTTTAGTAGATACACTTGGATTTATCCCTTAAAGCTAAAATCAGAAGCATTTAGAGTGTTTCTTCAGTTTCACTGTTTTGTTGAGAAACAACTGGATGCAAAAATGAAGTGTTTGCAAACAGATTGGGGAGGAGAATTCAAACCTTTTTCTAGTTATTTAAAAAAACATGGTATTAAGTTTAGACATCCCTGTCCATATCTTCATCAACAAAATGGGAGAGTAGAAAGAAAACATAGGACTATTACTGAATTTGGCCTGTCTTTACTTGCTCATGCTGCCATGCCCCTTAAATTTTGGTGGTCTGCGTTTAGCATAGCAGTATACCTTCTAAATAGGCTTCCTTCAGCTGCTATAGAGTTTATTTCACCCTATGAAATATTATTCAAGTAGTCACCAAAGTATACATATTTGAAGGTGTTTGGCTACTCCTGTTATCTATTTCTTCGACCCTACCAAAAACATAAGTTATCTTTCCATACTGAGAAGTGTGTGTTCTTAGGGTATAGTTTTGATCATAAAGGGTTTTGATGTATGAATGCCTTTGGCCAAGTGTTTATAGTGAGACAAGTGAAATTTCAAGAGACAGATTTTCCATTCAGAACAGGATTTCATTTTGCAGAACCTGCCTCTCTCACTACTGTATCTTCTGGTTTCAATATTATTTATCAATCCTGGCCTCTTCCATAAACCTCCTCAATATCTAAGGACTCACCTTCAGATTCTATTATATGTCAGAATGATTCTCTCAGATCCACAGATTCCATTACACCACCTGTTCAAGACTGCAGTTTTTCTTCTCTAAAAGAAGCCTTCCCGGATACTGATTCTCATTGTTTATCCTCTCCCATAGGTATCTCTAAAGTACCAGCCACAGCCACACACAATCCTGGAATTCACCTTGAAGTTGTACTTCCCATAGCACCTTCTATAGCCTCTGTTCAACCTTCTATCAGCACTAAAAATGTCCATCCAATGATTACCAGGTCTGAGAGTTGTGGTCTCACTAATCCACCCTAAGCTCTTCTATCTACCAACACTATCTTACTTGAACCAAAATCCATTACAGAAGCCTTACAAACTCCTGAGTGGAAAGAAGCCATGGAGGCTGAATATCAAGCTTTGTTGAAGAATCAAACCTGGACTCTTGTACCCTATGAAGCTGGAATGAATGTTGTTGGTAGTAAGTGGGTTTTTAAAACCAAACTTCACTAAGATGGTTCACTGTCCAGGTATAAGGCTAGGCTTGTGGCCAAGGGGTTTCAACAAATCCCTAGCCTTGATTATTTTGAGACCTTCTCACCTGTAGTTAAAGCAGCAACTATTCGAATTATTTTATCTCTGGCTGTTTATAATGAATGAGAAGTGCAGCAACTAGATGTCAACAATGCGTTTCTTAATGGAGAGTTGACTGAACAAGTGTTTATGACTCCACCAGAAGGTTTTACTGATTTATCTCAGCCTAAACAGGTGTACCAACTACATAAGGCCTCATATGGCCTTAAACAGGCTCCAAGAGCCTTGAGAAGTTAAAAACTGCTTTTCTTTGCTGGGGATTTCAGAACTCTATTTCTGATATTAGTCTGTTTTTTTTATAAGAAGGGTTCTCATATAGTTTACTTACTAGTCTATTTAGATGATATTTTGGTGACTGGTAATAATAAGAAATTGATTGATGAAGTGGTGACTGATTTGAACAATAGTTTTGCTTTAAAAACACTTGGTCCTGTGAACTATTTTCTTGGTTTTGAAGTCAATAGAAATAGCAAGGGAGTGTTTTTTACACAAAGCAAATATGCTCAAGAATTATTAGTAAAGGTTGGTATGCATGAATCAACCCTGCAATACACCTATGGCTACTGGAGTTCGATTGGGGAAGAAAGATAGTGTTGTTTTTTATCAGCCTTCATTGTTCAGAAGCATCATTGAGGGCCTACAGTACCTAACTTTATCCAGACCTGACCTTTCCTTTGCTATGAACAAGTTAAGTCAATTTTTACAACAACCTACTATTAATCACTGGACAGCCTGCAAGAGAGTGCTTAGGTATATAAAAGGCACTATAAACCATGGTCTTTTGTTTACTAAGAAACATCATTTTTTTGTGGAAGCATATGCTAATGCAGATTGGGCCAGTGATATGGATGATAGAAGGTCTACCAGCGGGTATGCTGTATTCATTAGAGGTAATCTGGTCCAGTGGAGTTCATTAGAGGTAATCTGGTCCAGTAGAGTTCAAAGAAACAGAAAACCATCTCTTTATCATCTACAAAAGCAGAATACAGGTCTTTAAGCACAACATCTATAGAACTTATATGGATTCGGAATTTATTTGAAGAAATAGGTATCTTGATAAATGGTTGTCCAGTTATTTGTGTGACAACATGAGTGCTGGAGTTTTGTCTTCGAATCTTGTATTTCATGCTAGGACCAAGCACATTGAAATTGATGTGCATTATGTTAGAGATCTGGTTGCAAAGAAGCAAGTGAGTGTTCAACATGTGGCTTCTGAATATCAAGTGGCAGATATCTTAACTAAAGCTCTTCCCTACAATCAGTTCACTTATTTAAAAGAAAAACTCAATGTGACCTCTGTACTACCTGAGTAATACTTGTTTAATTTTTCTATTGCTGATGTGTATTGGTGCTGCTGGATGATCAGAGTGTTTAATCTGTTGTTGAGGTGCATTGTTGTTTTGCTTAGTTTTTTTCTGTTGCTGATGTGTATTGGTGCTGCTGGATGATCAGAGTGTTTAATCTATTGTTGAGGTGCATTGGTGTTTTGTATGATCAGAATGTTTTAATCAGTTGCTAAGTACTTAATCTATTGCTGATATGTATTGGTGGTCTGGATAATCAAAATATGGTTGCTAATATGCATTGGTGGTCTGGATAATCAGAATTGAGGTTATGTAGTATGTTGGAAGGTTAAAGTGTTGAGTTTGTTTATCTACTATCTGCTTAATGCCTGCTTAATTTTTCTGTAGCTGGATGATCAGAATGTTTAATTTGTTGCTGAAATGTTGACTGTGGCTTCTATGCCATTTGCTTGGTTAATCTTTCTGTTGCTGGTGTACATTGGTGTTTCTGGATAATCAGGATTGAGATTGTGTAGTATGTTGGAAGGTTAAGGTGTTGAGTTTGGTTCTCTTATATGGTGTGTTACTAATCAAGAATGTCGATAAATTGATATTGAAATGCTATTGTTGTTGGTATGCGAATGGGAAAATAGTGATGGATCTGTCTCTGATAATTACCAAAATATTTTTGGTATGATGTATGACTGAAAAAAAAAACTTGCTGGATAATCAGGACTGAGATTGTGTGGTATGTTGGAAGGTTAAGGTGTTGAGTTTGGTTCTCTTATATGGTGTGTTACTAATCAAGAATGTTGATAAATTGATATTGAAATGCTATTGTTGTTGGTATGCGAATGGGAAAATAGTGATGGATCTGTCTCTGATAATTACCAAAATATTTTTGGTATGATGTATGACTGAAAAAAAAACTTGCTGGAACATTCATTGACCGTGTGGTTTATGGGGGAATATTAAGTACAAGAATGAGCAGCTATGTGACAAGTGTTTGGGACACTTTTGTTTAAGGGGGAATATTAGGAATAAAAGCAAGTAAGGGTGTTTTCTGTAAACTTTGTAAGTATAATTAGGGTGTGTTTTGTAAAGATTGTAAGTAAGTAAAACGATGCGTTTTTGTACTAATCTCAATCTCTATATAAGAGGCTGTTACTGTTTGTTTTCAGTTGTAACAAGAAAATACAATCAGTTAGCAATTAAGTCACACTTTTCTTTCCCTTCTTTAGCTACAGCTCGTACTTAGCCCTCTTTACATTTTTCTTCTGATTTTCGTTCACTTTCTCTCAAATTAGTTCAAGAATCTTCAAGACTCAAGAACTAAGAACAACTCAAAAGTGGATTATCACTCTCTCCTCTCTTAAGACTCTTAACACAAACTTCCTATTCTAATTCTCAATCAGATGAATCTCCCTCATCAACCCACAAGCATTTCTCCTCTCTCGTTTCTTGTACTCCTCCAAAATCTTCTCGTGCAATACCATCATCGGCCCCACCCAAATAAATTGTCAAGACATCGGAAAATGCACTTGCAAACCACCATCCTGACATGGAGTAGCTGTCACAAGTGCCCGCATTACAAACAACAATAAAGAACTCATGGTGTACACCAACATGGCAAGCCCATTTGTAGCCATAATTTCATTACCCTTTGAAGCATAAAAAATATTTCCAATCGCTTGCAACTGCTG